TGAAGGCGAGTTGCTGGGATAGGTTGTTTGTGGCTTGTACTAGGGCCGACAGGGTGAACTGGGAATCAGTGCAGGGCAAGCTCCGGTAGTCATGTCTGTGCTGCTTGGTGGTGTGATGCTCAGCTCACTGTGCAGGTAGGCAAGAAGGAGGGGGAAGATTGTGATGTGTGGAGCTAAGATAGGTATGGGAAAGAGGAGAGAGAGGAGATAGAAACAGGAGTGAAAAACATACAAACAAAAAAGAGTTTCAAAGGAGCTTGGAGTGAAGAGAGGAGAGATTGACAAATGGATAAAAACTAAAGGGAAAAAATAAAAAGGGTAAAAGAAAAAAGCGAATAAATGAAAATTACAAAAAAAAAAAAAAAAAACCCCAGGAATCCCACTGGTGCAGCTGTGAGGACTGGGGAAGTTCCTGCTACACTGTGAAGTTTTTCCTGGATAGAAGGGGTAGAGGTGTTACACAGCATCAGGAGACAGGAAGAGAAGGCAAGTATAGAGAGACGAGAAACTTAGAAATGAGGAAAGAGCAAAAGGTAGAATGAGAGAAAAGAAAACAAAAAACAAAAAACAAGAAAAAAGAAATGCCCCCAGGAATCCCACTGCATGGTTGGGCAGAATGAGGCAGTAGCTCCCAAGCCACACAGTACTGACAGTTTAGAAGAGGCTCCCAAGTTGAGAAAAGAAAAAGAAAACAAAGAAATTAAAACAGAACAAATCAAAACAAACAAAAAGCCCCAGGCATCCCACCAGCATAGTGGCCTAGGCCGGGAAGTAGCTCCGCAGTCAAGTAGCATTTCACAGCCTTTTAGGAAGAAGCAACGATGGCATGGGGAGGCAGGTATTTGACAGAAAGGAGGAGGATGTGGTGAGAGGTATGGAAGAAACCAAAAGAAGAGGAAAAAAGCAACACCAGCAACCAACAAATGGCACTCAGGGAGCCAGCCAGTGTGGGAAGGTGGAATCCAAGTGGCAAAGGGGTGAAGTCGGTTCTTCCTGGCCAAGAGACCGTGGCCACAGGAAGCAAAGGAGGCCAAGTGGGGGTGAAGAACGGTGGGGAGTGGGAAAGTGTATATTGCTGGTTACTGGTTGTTCTGTCTCCTGCTGAGAGCTCTGTGAAGCTGCTTACCTGTACTCCCTGTTTGCTGAACTCTGACAGGAGTCCAAGATGACAGATCTGTGCTGTGTTAGCTAATAGGGGACCTCTGCATGAATCTCTCTTTGCTCTCTCTTCTCTGTCAATTTCTTATTCCATTCTGTGCTTGGATGAGTTCTTTATCTCTTCATTTGATGCTTAGGGTTTCAGGATTGACGTATGTCTCTGTTTGACTTAGTTTTTTGGATCTTTGCTGTGGAGGGATGGTGTGGTGTTTCAGTCTATAGCGCCATGTTGCCCGGAAGTCCTGTTTGGCTTTCTTTTACTTGAACGAAGTGACATGCATGGAGAAGAGGATGGTTATAGAACTGTTATATGGGTGCAGTTATTACACAATATGTGCTATATCAATCATTGTGGCAAGTGATTTAAAAAAAGGAAATATATCAAGTTGTTTTGTGTGGCATGAAATGATGTTACATGGGTCGGCCAGGACATACAAGGCCTTCGGGGTCATGAGGAGGAGTTTGCATTTAATTCTTTGTAGATGGATTATCAATAAAAGATTATAAGCAAGTGGATGGGTGTCATGGGCTGTTTTTAATTTCTGCTAGTTTTTCTTCTTCTAGGAATCACTTGTTTACAACCTTTGCCCATGTGTTAGTTGAGCATTAATTTTTTTTTACTTGAAAAGACCATAGCCATTGAAAACCTTATGAAGCACAGTTCTACTCTGGACTTGTTGGCAACTGGTATGTATGTATACATGCTTCAAAGATTTTCTGAACTACTCATTTTTAACTTTATTTTCTTTTGTCATTCAAAATATTCAAAATATTTTACTTCTTATATAGTCAAATTTTACAATCACCTTTATTTTGGTGTCTAGGTTTTATGCCTTTTTTAAGAAGGTTTTCTTTGGCCTAGGGTTATTTTAAAAAGTTTACACCTTCTCTTTTGTTTTTTAAAAAGGTTTTTTTTTTTTTTTTTTTTTTTACATTTAATTCTTTATGTGAAATTTCTTTGTGTATTTTTCAGGCTTGAATCTAATTACATTTTATTTTTCAAATGGATAATGAATTATCACAAAACAATTTTTTTAATTGGTTATCCATCCCAACTCTACAGATTTTAAAATACTGAAAAGACATCCTCCAAGCATCTCAATCTTTAGGATCTCTTTAATCTTCATCATGAGAGTTGTAAGAAGTCTGTGTAGAAGGAATAATCTAGAGGTATCTCAAGCTTGACTACCTTCCTGGGTCATTTAGCTTTTGATAGTTGAGCCTCTGAGCTATAGTGTAGGATGATATAAGTGGTCCCCTGCATCCTGTCTTAAGGTGAGGGGAGGGAATGGAGGCCCGGGGCATGGGGTGGATAAAGACCTCTTGCTCTGATGTTTATCTTTGTCTATGTTCCTGTATGACTGAACTGTGTCCTCCTAAAATATGTGTTGGTATCCTAATCCTTTTACCTGTGGATGTAATACCATTTGAAATAGTTCTCTTTGTTATGTGAATGAGGCCATACCATAGTAGGGTGTGTCTTAAACCTAATCACTTCTAAGTTATGAAAAGAGCAGATTAGATACAGAAACAAGCACAATCAGGGGAAGATGGATGCCAAGTGAAGAACATTGTCTTAGGCTGGGTTCTCTGGAGAAGAAAAACTAGTGCAGAGTATAAATACATATATAACCAAAAAAACCAACCCCCTTGCCGTCAAGTCAATTCTGACTCATAGCGACCCATAGGACAGAGTAGAACTTCCTTATAGAGTTTCCGAGGAGCACCTGGTGGATTCAAAATGCCAAATTTCTGGTTAGCAGCCGAACTCTTAAGCACTATATAGAGATATTTATATAAAGGAAATGGCTTATGTGGTTGTCGAGTCTGGAAAGTCCCAAGTCCATGGGCCAGGTTGGAGGCTTCTTCTCACTCACGTAGCTGCAGTTGCTGATGAATCCAAGATGGGAGGGTCAGATAGAGGGTCTCTGGCTCACAGGCTGTGAAGGCGAATGAATCCCAAGACTGGCAGGTAAGCTCAAGTCCCAAGAACCAGAGATCAGATGAACAGGAGCCAGCTGCAGGATCCAGAGTGAGCAAAAACCCATGATCCTTACCAGAAAGTCCACCTATATTGAATGCACGCCACACCTCCAAGGAAACACCCCTTCATCTTATTGGCTGCTCACAACAGATCTCATCAAGAAGATGATCATATTATATCAGATCTCATTATGGAGATGATTACGTCCTTAAAAAGCTGCTAAACTATGTCATAACTGTCGAACAACTGAGGATCATGGCCCAATAAAGTTGACACGCAACCTTAACCATCACAAGCATCAAGAAACTGAGGAACTCTGGGGCTTTGAAAGCTGAAATAGACAAGGATCTTTCCCCAGTGATGACACAGAGAGCTTTCCTCTAGAGCCAATGCCCTGAATTCAGACTTCTAGCCGCCTGAACTATGCGAAAATAAATTTATGTTAATTAAAGCCACCCACCTGTGGTATTTCTGCTACAGCAGCCCTAGGAAACTAAGACAGTTCCCAATGGCTCCAGTTTACAGCCATATTGCCAGTCTCCCATGTGGGAATCCCAAAGATTTTCACCTCAGTTCATGTCAGATTCCTGGATCAGTAGGGTCAGTGCACTTCCTCTGATATTTCCAGGGCTGCCCCACTGCACAACTGCAGGGAGTACCAGGCCTAACTCTGTGAGGAAATACAAGATTCCCTCCTTTATCCTTATTCACACCAATCCCTTAATCATTGGAGGTATAACACAAAAGTCTATGAACATGGGGGATATTATAAGATCCACCTTAGCATTGAACATGTTTCTCTCTGAAAAACACAAATCTGGCTTTACAATGAAATTATAGACTTGGCCAACATGGCTGTTGAGAAGTAGGAGAGGATCCTAGATCACTTACAAATGCCTCTGCCATGGAGTACAAAAACCTTAAAAGTAGTGGGGGTTACTAATCAGGAATACTTATTAACCCATTCCCAACGTATTCCAAGATCCCTTTGTCAGAGTGAAGACTTAGACCCTTTTTACTTAGCCCTGCACCCTTGTTAACTTGTTAGGAGGAGATCTTTTATTCAAATGGAACTGCTGTCTACAATTTGATGAGAAGGAGGAAATATTATTAAGTTTACCTGATGCCCCTAAGATGACGGAAACAGGCTCTGAATTAGACAGTATCCAAAAAGAAGAGGTTCTTTGTTGCATGCAGGTGCTTATTATGCCTCTCCAAGATACAACACAGCCTAAGCCCCTCCCTTATGACATCCTCTCCTCAGTTTCTGAGACCTTGTGTGCCACTACATCCATAGATGTAGGTCAAGTTTTGTCAGCTGAACTGATTAAAATCTAAATAGATTACCAAAATTCCTTTACCAAAAATTTCCCAGTATTCTCTCAAATGGGAAGCCAAATAAGGGCTTGCCCTTATCATACAGGATTTTCTCTCTAAAGGTTTAATTGTCCCTTGTACTAGCCCCTGTGAGACTCCTGTCCTTCCAGTTAAAAAAACAAATAATAGGGGCTGGAGATTTGTTCAAGATCTCTGTGCAATCAGCCGTACTGCTATTCTTAGATTCTCAGTAGTTCCTAATCCACATTTGTTACTTTCCAATGTTCCTTCAGATGCAACACATTTTATGGTTGTAGATCTTTGTAGTGTTTTTTTTCAGTGTTCCTTTGCATCCTGATAGCAAATATTTGTTTTCTTTTACTTGGGAAAATCAGCAGTTTACCTGGACTGTAATGTCCCAAGGATTTACTGAATCTCCTACTCACTTTTCTCAAATTTGGCATGCTGACTTACAGCCTTTACAATTTGTAATCAATCTACATTGTTGTAATATGTTGATGACTTCTTAGTTTGTTCAAACTCTCAACAAGCCTGCTTTGAAGATAGAGTATCTTTACTGAAACATTTGGTTGCTGGAGGACATAGGTTCTAAAGAGAAATTGCAATTAGCTCAGCCTTCTGTTAAATATTTAGGCCACCTAGTTTCTGCAAGTCATCTCTACTGACCCTAAACAAAAAGAGGTTATTCTGTTTTTCCTATACCTGAAGCCAAGAAATAACTATGGGTTTTCTTAGGACTCTGTGGCTATTATCAAACCTAGATACCTAACTTCTCTTTGATGACTCAACATTTATACAAATATTTAAAGACCTCTGAACAAGATTCTTTTCAAATTGCACCTGAAGATCAAGAGTCAATAACAGATTAAAAGAGGCTTTGATATATATGCCTGCTCTAGGCTTTTCTAATTACTGCCTAGATTTCTCTTTGTTTTTACATGAAGTATCTGGAAATGCCTTAGATATATTAACTCAGAAACATGGGGGCTTACAAAGACCCATAGGTTATTATAGTCTGCATCTTGATCCTGTAGCCAAAGGCTATGCTTTCTGCCTTTGAGCTGTGGCTGCCACTGCTAAACTAGTGGAAACCATGGCAAAGGTAGTGCTAGGAAACTCTTTAGATGTTTAGGTGCCCCATGCTGTGTCTGCCTTACTTAATTCTGTCCTGATACATCTTTCTACAGTTAGGATTACTTCCTATGAGGCCCGTCACCTGGCCACAACCAATATTAGGCTGCACTCCACGGCCTGTATAAATTTGGCCACTCTTTTCCTCGCAACTGATGAAGATAAATGTCTTACGTATGACTTTTTAGACTTGACTGAACAACTTTTAACTCCTTGGAAGGATTTGAAAGAAACTCCTTTAGCTAATCCTGATTTAGTTTTGTCTGTGGATGATTCTTAAAACCTAATCCCAGTGCTTCTTGCTATCAGGCTGGATATGCAATTACAACCTCTACCAAAGTGCTTGAGAGTCAGACCCTTCCTGAAGTCACTTCAGCTCAACAAGCTGAATTAATTGTCCTTACCAGAGCTTGTAAAAGTCAAAGGATTAAGTGGTAAAATGGCGCTCTAGGCAGAAGCACCATGCTTTCCCTCCATAGCAAAGATCCAAAAAACTAAGCCAAAACAGAGAAAACAGCAATCCTGAAACCCTAAAACATCAAAGGAAGAGATAAAGAACTCAGCCAAGCACCAAATGGAGTGAGAAAACTGAAAGAGAACAGAGATCAAGGAGAGATTCATACAGAGGTCCCCTATCAGCTAACACAGTGTGGATCCACCATCTTGGACTCCTATCAGAGACCAGCAAATGGCGGTACGAGAAAGCAGCTTCACGGAGCTTCCAGTGGGAGAAAAAAACATCCGGTAATTTGAGATATATGCTATCCCAACCCCACCATTCTTTACCCCCACTCAGCCTCCTCTGCTTCTCGTGGCCACAGTCCCTTGTCCGGGAAGCACTGGCTGCTTGGATTCCACTTGCCTGCACAGGCCGATTCTCTGAGTACCATTTGTTGGCTGCTGGTGTTGCTTTTTTCTGCTTCTTTTGATTTCTTCCTTACCTCTCACCACCTCCCCCTCCTTTCACTCAAATACCTGGCTCCGTGCACCATCTTTGCTTCTTCCTGAGGGGCTGCAGAGTTCTGGTGATTTGAGATATATGCATTCCCACCCCCACCCTTCTTCACCCCAACTCGGCCTCCTCTGCTTCCCATGGCCACAGTCTCTTGTCCGGGAAGCACTGGCTGCTTGGATTCCACCTGCCTGCACAGGCCGGTTTTCTGAGTGCCATTTGTTGGCTGCTGGTGTTGCTTTTTTCTGCTTCTTTTGATTTCTTCCTTACCTCTCACCACCACCTCTTCCTTTTGCTCAAATACCTAGCTCAGTGCATCATCTTTTCTTCTTCCTGAGGGGCTGCGGAGCTCCGTTCAAGTGTGAAACTGCTTCCCAGTCTGGGCTGCCATGCTGGTGGGATCCCAGGGCTTTTGCTTGTTTGTTTTCAATTGTTTGTTTGTTTTCTTTTTCCCTTTCTTTAGTTGGGAGCCAGTTCCGGCCAGGCGGTGCTGCACGGCCTGGGAACTACCCCCTCGGCTTGTGCAGATGCACAGGGGGATCCCTGAGAGCATTTTTTTTCACGTTTTTTTTTCTGTTTTTTTGAGGGGATTTTCTTTTGCTTTCTTTTTTTTTTCTTTTTTTTTTTTAAAT